CACGCAGGTTGGACATTGTGCCTCAATTCAGAGATGATAGAATTATACAAATCTAAAAACTGTGACCCTCAAAACTCCAGAATATGTCGACTTGAGGTAACCCTGTACCTCTTCCTCAGCTACTCACCCAGCCCTCTCAAATTATAACTCAGATTGTTCCCTATATCCTCAAGCTTCCTGTTATGAGAAACCTTGGACTACATGATTTTGAAAGTGATTCATGCTGCGTTCTGTTAGCATTATCTACCACAATCTTTGTTTTCTTTTGCTCAACTTCCTTTCAAAGGTGCATTTTTACAACTGTTCTCTCTCCTTCTCATGAACTTTCTGGGTTTGATGGAACCAGAAAAATTCCCTTTTCTGAAATTTGTTAGCCAGCTTTACAAATTGTATAGCAAGATCTGGAAGCACCAATTTACAATGTAAATAGCATCATGGTAACTTCAAGTGGGGTTTGAACAATTATTTGAGGAAATTCCAGACATTGGAATGCAGGAATGTCCTTACTTCTTTCCTGCTCTCCAAATAATTAAAATAAAATGTTTCTTCACAGGAAATATACGAAACGTTTTTTGTTTTATTTTGCTTTGGTGGAAGAAGAGAGCATAAATCCAGAACTAATAATTTGAGGTTTCTTTCCTTGTTTTCACAGAAATAATCAACAATTCCACGGTAACAGAAACAGTTTGTCCCAACTTAAATAGGCCAAACACAATTCCATTCCAATTTCACAATTTTTTCTTCTCTCTTCATGTAACTATCTTGATGATGCAGTGTCTAGACTTCTTGGAACAAGTGATGGGGTCTGGAATTGATTCTGTGGGTTTGAAAATAGTTACTCAATGTGCCTACACAGTCATATATGAAAATTCAATGATTTCAAAATACGTAAAAATCATCAAGATATTTACTAAATACACACACACACACACACACACACACACACACACACACACACACATATGCGTGTGTGTTTATCTGTTAATTCTGTAACTTTGAGCTGCTACTAACCGGCAAATATTGTGTTTGTATTAATCCATTTATCTGTATCATCTCATTGTAATATTGTTCCCACTAGCCCCTGTGTCAAAGAGAGTGCAACATAAATAATTTGTGCTCATGAAATAATTGTCTATCTTTTGAGAGACTACAGAAAAATAAATTCGCTTAAGGAGTATACATATATTCTTGTTGTGATTTTAATAAGTGGTCTATGAAAATTTACCAAGTTGATGGGCAGAATTAATATCACAAGTTGTTCTTAGTCCTCTGACATTTATTAGCTGGAGAAAATGAAAGTAGTCGCTGAGGTTCCCAGATCTAACCAATGTTTGTGTAGCCTGTATTAGTATGTCTGACTCTGGTTTATCTGTGCTCTCAAGAAAATCAAACTGTATGCTTGCAGAGAAAGTTCAGAGTTATTTGTTACCAATTACCTAAAGCTGAGAGTTAAGTTTACTCAAAGCTGTAACCATTTCCTGGAAATACTTGCTCCTAATTTTACTAGACTGTCACTTCTGGAGGCTTTATCCTAGAAAGTATATTTCTGCCACAGAAGAACTTTACTGTAAAAATTATCTGGAGACAATAGTCTTAGGGGGTATAAAACTTCATGGCATTGACTTCGTTCTTAATTTTCAGACAACTTTCTCAAGCTCTACTGGATTTTCTGTGACAAATGAAAAGCAACCAGAAAGTATTTTTTCATCTAAAGATACATACACATAACATATTAAACAAGCTGATCTCAATTATACTATAAAACCTCTGTTGGTTCTGTTCAGAAATGCAGGTCTAGGTGATGTTTTCTGTTCAGAAAAGCAAGCTTATCAGATAGCCCTCCTAGAAGAAATTAGGTATTCTGAGCATAAGGTGAAAGGAAAAAATATGTATGAAAGTAAATAATACAAATATCAATCAATGGCACATCCTTTATTTCTTACTTAGAACTTCAATTATTAAAGCCCATTATAACAAGTTCGTATCTATATTACATGACAATGGTTAGAAGGAAGCTCTTAAAACCTTATTTACCTAACCTCAGAAGTAATGAAGTAGATTGGAAAGTGTGCTGAATAATGGGTCAGAAGAACTGGGAGTTATTCCCAGTATATATGTAGGTCTCAGTTTCTCCATTTGTAAAATGGATGAGTCATCCGGCCAGGCACACAATGTTGTTTTGAAGAGGTGTATGAATTGTTCCATCAGCAGTTTGGGTTTGGTCATATTTACAACTTCAGTTGAATGTCATGGGAGAAATGACTATATATTGATTCCGTTTTACTGAAACAAAACACAGATGAGGTTTTGAATAACTCAGCGTCACCTGAAGAAGCTTAGCTAATAGTCACACAAAATGCTTCTAAGTAATCATACTACCTAGAAACTCTAGTTTAACAAGGGAAGTCTAGGTAATAGAATGGATTATCATGTGAACTAATGGCATTGCTCTAAATGGCCGCAGGCCATGTCCCTAATTACCTTTAATTCACAGAATGTCTCCTTAAAGATGCAGATGGTGAAGTGGAGATGGATCAGAGTAATGTCCTGCAGAGGAGTGCCAGTGACATCATCTTATGCAAAGGATATACATTCTAACTTATTAGGCCCTGTTGCAAGGTTTAGAATTACTAACTCTAGTATAGAAAATACGCTAATAGCTGAAGGATTATCAATTTTCTAGTATGTGGCAAATCCTGGAACACCATGACCAAAGGGCAGAGCATAAGCTATATAACTGTATCAATCATTTCATAGTTGTAGAGAATGTATTCTCTCCTGCTACAAATCTGCTAGATTTTTTATATTCAATTAAAAAACATTTTCCAAAGTCTATTTCTTAGAGGACTAGTTTTAAGTGAAACTAATAGATGCTACCAAAAAGCAAAACAAAACTTTTTAAAAATACTGATTGAATCATCTTTAAATAGACTTCTGTAGAACATGATTTCTCAGAGTTTTTTTTTTAATTATTAAATGTCAGTATCAGGAAGAGAACATATCATTCAGATTTCTCAAGTGCATTGGAACACAGAAAGCTTTTCTGTCAGCAGAGCTAATGTTCCAAAGAATACATTGTAGGGAATGCTAAGTTAGAGGATATTTAGAACTTATACAACAGAGGCAAATAGTTTACCTGAAATGTCCAGGGAACAGTTTTGGTGGCTAAAATATAACTTCAGAGTTTAGAACTCACTTAAAGAATCGATAGCAATTAAACACCTGAATACTGATTGTCTGCTTAAAGGCACAAGGACAATGATGAGCAGAGTTGGTAAAGGCATTTGTTTAAAGGTTATAATGAACCTATTATGGGGGTTGGTGAAATAATATCTGTAATGCACTCAGAATTATCAATGACTAAGAGATATGTATGATTTTTAATTGGAAATGGGAGGTTTTCTTTTTTGCATCCTTTTATTCAGTTGTTGAACAATTACTTGCTGAGTACCAGGTATAACCTTGTGTTTTAGAAGATACAGAAACAAATAAAATTTGGCCCAGGCCTATAAGGAGATCACGGTCTGGGCAATTTTAGCAGAAGAGTGATGATAGCTGTGAGAGCACAGAGGACACTGTATAAAAATCTCTGATAATTTTAAGCTAAGTTACTAATATCACCAAGCCTTTCAAACAATTATCTTATTTTAAATTGTAGTCTTTATACAGATATAAATTGCACTGTATTATTAGTAATACATGAATTTCAGACAACAGTTGGTTTGCTTGATTTAGAGTAGTTTCATTGAGATTACTACTATTTTGAGCAAGTAGCTACAGTAGGATTGTGTTTAGGGTGGATATTCATTTATTCCAAAGTTGATTTACTACTATAATTCTCTATGTATATTAAGCAACAACTGATGGGCTAGTCTCCATGAAGACATTTTCCTTGATTCAAAATCATCTTGCCTCTTGGATACAGAAAGTACTAAGATACACAAAACCTAGTAATTTAGGTTGTTCATATTTATACATTTAGTATTGGATCTCGGTAAATTTAGAAGAACAAAGAATCTGAAGTTTTCATTTTCTACAAAAATTCTTCCTCTCACCTTTATAAATTAAGAAACACTGTCTTCATTAGATGATTCTGATTTTGAAGTTTTATGATATTGGTCAAGTTTAGAAACTCAGAAACATAGTTGATTCCATAGAAAACTCATTCTCAGAGAGTAGGACTTTGAATGTGCAGGAGAAATGTGTGTGTTAGGACAATGAGTTATACCATATTCTTATGTAAGGGAGCATGTAATTTCACTGGGGCTCTCTTTATTGCTAGAATACATATTGTTCCCAGAATATATTTTATTGATTACTACAACTTTGTGAAAAATGATTTGGCTGTTTCCTTTTTCATCCTAATGAAGAAAGTTTGGAGGATTAAAGGCATTGGAAATGAAATTCTAACAGTGACATGAAAATGAAATGGGAAAAGAGAACAAAAAAAGACTTCAACATCATCTATAATACTCCATATTTTATATTAAAAAGTGATGTCAAAATGGTATTTGCCCATAATGAATGCGCTACATAAATATTTCTTACATTTTTTCTTTTTAAAAATTTGAAAAATAAATTATTAGAAATTAATATGAAAATTCATTCAACAAATACTTAATGAGAGCCTACTATGTGATAGGTGCTAGCAACAAAACGGAGAAAAAAAACAGACATCATCCCTATCCTCATGGAGTTTGTGTTTAGATGTGAAATGCGAAATGTTTGAGACCCTACAAAGAATGTTTGAAGGGACAGACTGAAGGGATGGGGTGAATTAACTCACACTGATACTGTAGAGGTGGGATGCTGGGGGTACCAGATCAGTAAGCAAAGGTCTTTCAATGCTGATAGCAACTGCTTCCTCTTGGTTCAAAATCAAGTTTGACTAATAATGCACTGGCCACGTGCCACACATCTAAAGCAGTCTCATGTGGTATTTGATTTTCCCTCTGGTTGCAACTCAAAGTTCACGTGCATTTTTTTTTGATTCCCTCTAGTATATGACTGCTGCCGCTCCTATGCAAGGGACCTACATTCCCCAGTACACGCCTGTGCCTCCAACAGCTGTTTCTATTGAAGTAAGTCTATCCCTGTTTGATAGAAAGATGTTAAGGGAGATGGATCTCAGTCACTTATACCATGGCCCCCAAACCAAGGAATCTTCCTTTGTAATTTCTGTGCTGCTCTGAAATTTGAAATTGTAAGCTCAGTATATGAAAAATATCTGTGTCTGTGTCTGTGTTTTGCTTTGCACGTGAAATGAGCTAATCCACCCCAGAGGCATGGGAAGGAGTGTCATTTTCATGTATAGAGAAAAATCCAGAGACTAAATCATTACACCATCAAATGTTAGTCGCAAATACTTATAAATAGGAGGGGGAAAAGTTTGCAACTCTTGGAATGAGCTAGTTCTCGAGTAGCTTGTTACTCAAAGAGTGATTCCTGGGCCAGCATCATTGGCATCCCATGAGTTTGTTAGAAACATAGACTCTCACACACTGCTCGGACCTACTGAATCTGAATTTGCCATTTAAAAAGATCACTCAATGATACAGATGCACACTTCTGTACATTTAATTATTCTGGGAGCTTTAAAGATGATTCCTGGGTTATCTCCCCATAGATGCTAGTCCATCTGTCTGAAGTACGGACTAGATATAAAGATTTTTAAAAGATCTCAGCTGATTTTTTTTTTTTTTTTTTTTTTGAGTTGGAGTCTCACTCTGTCGCCCAGACTGGAGTGCAGTGGCTGCTCCCGGCCACCGCAGCCTCGACCTGCTGGGCTCCGGCGATCCTTCCGCCTCAGCCTTCCAAGTAGCCGGAATTACAGGCATGCGCTACCACGCCCGGCTGATTTTTTGATTTATTGTAGAGATGAGGTCTCGCTGCCCAGGCGGGTCTCGAACCCACGGGCTCAGGCAATCCACTCACCTCAGCCTCCCAAAGGCGCGGGAGTACAGGCTGAGCCACTGAGCCCGGCTCAGCTGATTCTTACCAAACATTAAAAACCGTGCTCTAGTGAATGAACCACGCTCTAGTGAACGAACCTTGATAGGTGTATGGCTTCCCGTAGACAAGAAAGAAATAGTTGTACCACTCTTCCTGCTATGGACGTCATTAATGATTATGTCCTCTTGTCTACAGTGGAAGCTTTGCCCCTTTTCTCTTCTTTCCATTTGGCTTAATCCATGTACTCTACACATCATTTCACTGGACAGAGCTATCAACCAACATGGAAGAGGAGAGGGCATAGACCCATGCAGATGGTGGTAAAACACTAAAATGTGTATTTTTTCTCGATTTCTAGCCATTGATATGTATTTCCCTTCTTTTTCCTCTCCTGATGCACACATGCATTATGGCCACTGTGCATTCCTTCTCATCAGCTGGGAATCCTCTGGAATTAATGTGTTTTCTGGTCCATTAGTTGGCAAGTAACTTGCATGCTGGCACCATTCCACATGAAAATCTACTAAGACTCTTTCAACCTCTGGAGCTAAGAGAATAAGGGAGACCTTTACAGACTAAATTGGATCTTTCAAAACGTTAGTTAATTTAGTTTTCATGTGTGACAAATGTTTGCTCACACCAAGGTTTGAGAAATTCAGAGTTTAACAGGGCACACTTATGCAGCTTAGGAAACCAAAGAGGTTCAATTTTTAAATATTGTATGTGTTCCAGACCTATAGGCCCCCAAAAATGTGTCATCTTAAACAGGCTTTAATTGGATTTTCAGAATTTCAAGAATATGCGGTTACATGTTTTTTGCTATATATAGCTGTTAAAAAACATCTATGCCATGAGAAAATTAAAAATCTGGACAGTCTAGCACTGTAAACATGAATCTCTGCTTATTTGCATTTCTCTATGTCTAATATACACTTATCTACAAAATTTGAGCATTTTGATTACTATGGCAGTGTGGCTTATTGGAAATAGTTTAGTTATAGTTAGATGTGGAGACTAAAAAATAATCTTTCACTGAAAAATATATAAAAGTACACTCTGATATCCTGCCTTGAGTGTGTGCTTATAAGGAAAAGTGCTAATTCATTTTCTATGTAAAAACATTCATTATTCATTAGTATCTACACAAGTAAGTGCTGATGGGAGGTTCAGAAAAATACATGATAGCAAATGGTACTAGGAATGAAACGTGTGAGTGAATATGGGGAGAATTTCCAGATTCTAAAGAAGAATGATAGAGAACTTTAGTGACAGAGGATTGACCAAGAATATTTGAAATTCAACATCTATGTAGGTCTCCAAAGCTATAAGTAAAACCAGGAGAATGGATTCAGATAGATGCCCTCTCCTTAGGCCTACTAGTGACCAAATAAAACCACCTATCTTTCTCTAGGAAGCAAGCATATGTCCCTGATCATGACCAATTCCAGAGATTCATTTTTGCTGGCATCTGTGAGAAACAAGAAATAGAAAGGGTGAAGGAAAAAAAAATTAAAATTAAGGCCAAGTGTTTGTTTTTTTCGAAAACTTCTAAATGAATTCCAGTTCATGTCTTGGAAAACAAAACAAAATAATACAGATCAAATTACTGAAAGGAAAAACTACTCAGTACTGTCCTTTTAAAACACTTCTAAGCTTTGATGTAATTTTTTTTTTTTTTTTTTTTGACTTGGAGTCTCACTCTGTCACCCAGGCTGGAGTGCAGTGGCACACTCATGGCCACCATAGCCTCTACCTGCTGGGCTCAGGCGATCCTTCCGCTTCAGCCTTCCAAATAGTTGGAACTCTAGGTGTGTGCTATCACACCCAGCTCATTTGTGTGATTTATTGTAGAGATGAGGTCTCACCAAGTTGCCCAGGCTAGTCTCGAACCCCTGAGCTCAGGCAATCCTCTCGCCTCGGCCTCCTAAAGTTCTGGAATTACAGGCTTGAGCCACCGTGCCCAGCCGATGTAGATTTTTATGAAGATCAGAATGTATTGTTTTGCCAAGTGATAAAAACATGGTGAAATACCCCAGTTACATGTTAGAAAATGCAAGTTTTTATGGGACTCCTGAATGAGTTTTTTGATTCATAAATTGTTATGTAGTGTGGCTGTATGGCTCAGCCTGTAATCCTGCGCCTTTGGCAAGCTGAGGTGAGTGGATTGCCTGAGCCCGCGGGTTCGAGACCCGCCTGGGCAACTTGGCGAGATCTCATCTCTACAGTAAATCAAAAATTAGCCGGGTCTGGTAGCGCGCACCTGTAGTTCCAGCTACTTGGAAGGCTGCAGCGGAAGGATCGCTGGAGCCAGCAGGTCGAGGCTGCGGTGGCCAGGAGCGGCCACTGCACTCCAGTCTGGATGACACAGTGAGACTCCAACTCAAAAAAAACAAAAAAACAGAAGTTCCAAGAGTGAGCACAATGATTTTCTGACTATGTGACTACTTCAAGGACTCCTGATGGTACAACTTCTTGGTGTCATATTATAATGAAATCCTCGGCCCTTATCCAAGTGTGTTTTGTGGTTTCTTTTGAGTACTTATTGTGGCTTCATGTAGCTGAGAGCATCTGTATTCGAGCCAAATAGAAGAGGGATATTTACAGTCCATCTAGCAGAGGGCTCTTTACCAAAGCAAGTAAGGCTTTTGTGTTATTTGTCTCCTTAGGGTGTTGTTGCTGATACTTCTCCCCAGACAGTGGCTCCTTCATCCCAGGACACCAGTGGTCAGCAACAACAAATAGCTGTGGACACATCCAATGAACATGCACCTGCATATTCCTACCAACAGTCTAAGTAAGTTTGTCCTATGCTAAGCTCTTTTCCTCAAGATTGACCATTTTGGCATCAGTCTTTTATGTTGTATCTGTTAGCTTTTGCTACCCCAAAAATTAATGGCAAGCATTAAAGTAGCTCATTATTAGGTGGGTTTGAAATCTGGGTGGATGGTTCTTCTGATCTTGACAGGATTTAAGTATCCAGGAACAGCTACTGCTCATACATGGGAGCTCTGCTTCTGGGTGTTAACTGATTGTTGGACGGGTGATGGAAGATATTGGGCCTCATGTTTCTGATCCTCTAGCAGGCTTATTCACATGAAGTCTCAGAACTGCAAGACTAGCAAAAGAACAAGCCCATCTGAAGCACTCTTCAATTCTGTTTATGACTCATTTGCTAACGTCTTATTGGCCAAAGAAAGTCACTTGGCCAAGCAAAGTCAATGTAGGAGCTCACTACTAGAAGGCTTGAGATGGAGAGAGCCATTACAGCCATTCTTATTTTTTAAAAATCTACCATACATATTTGTGGAAAAATTTCCACATTCCTACCTGAAACTAGATAGAGAGCCTGCTTTTTTGTTCTTAGTCTCCTCGTTCCTAGGTGAAGGCTAACGCTTCTCTTGTAAGGTTGCCTTAAACGTGCAGCTAAATGTTCGTGAAAAAGCACCAGAGAATAGGGTCTTATTCAGAAATTAAATGGCGAAGGAAAAATCAGGTAGTCAAAATTACTCTTGAAAATCCTTACATCACTCATAATGCAAAATACATTTGGCTTTGTGTTGAGTAAATATGTAGACTAAAGTTTGAGAACTTACTAGTGAAGTCGAAAGTATTAGCAAGAGGAACATCTGTATACAGATGTCTTGCCATGCAAACTTTTCAACTTTGTAGATAGCAATCAAATCCCTGGTGAATAGAAAATTCTTTGATGTCTAGAGTGTTGCTCTTTTCTTGTTATATGGCTCTTTTCTTGCCATAGGGAAGAAAGACTGAGTTCAATTCAGAATACAGCAAAGACAACTAGGAATTTATAGCCAACAAGCAGAGTTGGGGGGATCACTGAATGGAGAATTTCTTAGAGAAGTCACAAGGGTAGGGGAATTACTGCTAAATGAACTTGACAAGATTCCTGCTGAAGGCAGATCAAGGACTAATACATCAGAGGTAGGGGATGACAAAATTAATCAGATATTGAAGACCCATGCCTATAATCCCAGCACTTTGGGAGGTGAGAGATTGTCTGAGCCCAGGGGTTCGAGACCAGCCTGGGTAGCTTAGGGCGACCTAATATCTACAATTTAAAAAAAAAATTGGCGTGGTGGTGTGCACCTGTAGTTCCAGCTACTTGAAAGGCTGAGGTGGAAGAATTGCTCGAACCCAGCAGGCCAGTGCTGCAGTGGCTGTGAGCATGCCGCTGCACTCCAGCCTGGGTGACAGAGTGGCACTCCGACTCCAAAAAAAAAAATTAAAAGTGGGAGAATCTCTCTAAAGGGACTTAGCAAGATTCTTACTAACGCTAGACTAGACAGACCTGGCAAGAATGGGAGCCAAAGTCTGGCCTACTTAATAAGAGGGCTCAGAGTAGCCTAACTAAAATTTGGGCAAAGAGAGTGTCTCTGTCACTCTTTAACCTTGATACTCATTAACAGATTTATTTGTTATTAGAATAAGACAATGGAATCCTCTGTATGTGGCTTAGCTTCTAAAGTTAGCACTACAGATTTAATTTGCTCAGAATATGATTTAACCTTACAAATATAAGGCATTATTATTACCTCATTACTATCAATAATAACTTTCAGGAAAGATTGTTACTAAGGCAGTTTGTTGTTAGGGGTGGTTGAATTGATATAGCCTGTGTGAACCACTATCACTTTTATGTGTAACAGACAATATGGTAGTCTCTGATACTCTGTCTAAGGATATTGGAATTTTTTTTTTCAGTCTGGTCAGTGGGTTATATGTGGGGAGAGGAGCAGATATTGGCTATGCATAAGCATAGTGAGAGATACTGGTAGGAGATAAGAGATACTATGTGTGATGGATAATTTTAGGGGTCAATTTGACTGAGCCATGGGGTAACCATATATTTGGTCAAACATTATTTCTGGGTGTTTCTGTGAGCATGCTATTGGAAGAGATGAACATTTGAATCAGTAGATTAAGTAAAGCAGATTGCCATTTCTAATGTGGGTGGCCCCATTCAACCACTTGAAGGTCTGAAAAGAACAAAAAGGTTAAAACTCCTGTGACTATGAGAGAATCCTGCCTGACGACTTAAACTGGAACATGAGGACATGGGTCTTTTATTGCCTTTGGATTTGAACGGAAACATCCGTCCTCTTTGGGTCTCGAGCCTGCCAGCACAAGGTTTGGAATTTACACCATCAGTTCTCCCAGTTCTCAGACTTTCAGACTCAGATTGAAGCTGCACTGTCAGTTCTCCTGGATTGTCAGTCAACCAAATGTAGATCTTGGGATCTCTCAGTCTCCATAACTGTATGAGTCAATTTAGTATTTTTAAATCTGTGTGTGTGTATGTGTGTGTGTGTGTGTGTGTGTGTGTGTGTGTGTGTGTCTAGGCCTAGTACACTGCCTCAAGATATTCCTCCCTGCATCTCAGCTGTTCTGGTTGGTGCATGGTGACTCCAGAAACCCCAGATTTGGCACCCATGACAGCTCTGGAAGACAGGTTATAAAACTTGGCAATGTCTGTGTGGTGATAATTCTGCAACCTTTGCAGAAATCAAGAGCCTAGAAAGGTTTGGAAACCTTCATTCAGATTTTCAAAAATGTGATCATAAGCCCTAATATCAGGCAAAGAATTATTAC